CAGATGTAGCAATGACACAGGACCATGGCTCCACTCTTCCTACCAAACACTGAACCAAGGCTGCCAGACTCATAGAGCAGTTCTCAAAAAGGGGAAACTTGGGGCCCACATCACAAAGAATCATCCAGCCTAAAATGCCAATAGTGCTGCCGGTAAAAAATGCTATGGCCGAACAATGAAGAACAGCTGAGGCAGCAGCTTGGAGACGATACTCTGTGAGCATGCGGGGTGCAGTGCACATCCTAAAGTAATGCCTGCTATCTAGTACTATGTTCTCAACTGGTGGAATACATAGGTCTGGGAACCAAGGCGTGTAACAGACGGCCTTGCCTACCAACATTCCCAGTGACCCACTTGGGAAATGTGCGCTTCCCATCTCCAAAACTTTAGGACTTTAAACTTGAAGCTAGGACCGCCACCTACTGCCTTCAGATCCCATGCCAGCAGACACTGAAAGGAGTCACCATACTGGCAGAAGTAACAGATCCTCATCATCAGGGGTAGGGCTGCTGGCACAATCTCTCGGCATCGCTTGCCCAATGTTGCTGGTAGATGGAAAGGGCAGCAACCATAGCCTGAGATGGGCACGGTAACCGGGTCTCAGGCCCCTCAGGGATGAAGGTCTGGGCCACCAGGTTGAGCCCAGCACAAATGCCAGATGAGGGTGAGGGGAATTTAGAATAGGTAGTAACTGACAGAGCAGGTGGGTGTCAGTTACAGCTTCAGACCAGATGCAGCCTGGGAACTGTAGTTCATCTTACCCCCTTAAGTTTCCCCAGGCGAAGAGAACAGTGAGAACTTAGATTATGCAGACTTTCACAGGCCATAGTGAGGAACTTGGAAACGTTTATATTCACAGTCAAAGAAAATTTCCAGCCCTTTCCCCTTGCTCAGTTTCCCAAAAGTTTTCTGAAAGTTGGCAGGTAGGCATGTTATCGTTCCTGATCCCGAACCAGGGAGTAGATGATGTCCCTTTGGACAAATCCTACAGATACCGATACTTGGGGTCCTCTAAAGAAAAAGCCAGGTCCCTCTTGCCCCATAATCCTGCAGTGAAGCCCATAGCTGACGAGCCCTGTCCATCACAAAGAACTTCCAGTCTGCATTTTCAGAGAGTGCCTCTCTTTTTAAAAACAGGACACAAAGGATATCCAAACATTTGAGGAAATCTTCTAACAGCAGACAAGGGTGAATCAAATGAAAAAGGTATCTAAGGGAAACAGAGACAACGTAGGGACAAAGAGAGAACTTCAAAAATTATAATAAAGACTACTAAAGGGCTGAGGAAAGCTAATGCATTTGTAAAACAAGAACAGGATGCTATAAGAAAAAAAGAACATTCAGAGGAAATTAAAAATTCAAAAGAAGTGCTACAAGATCAATTTGAAAAATCCTTCTGGAAAGCAGAACAAAATCCCCAAAGAAACAGGAAAGAGGAAAGAGAGACAAAAAAGATCAAACCAGGCGGTCTGACAACCAGTTAACAGAAATTCCAGGAAGAACAAAGTAAGAAAATGGGTATGAAGAAAATTATTATAGAAATAATAAAATTTCCTAGAACTGGAGCTCGTGAATTTCCAGATGAAAAGGTTCATGAAATGCCAGAATAATAGTGAAAAACACATATATAAAGACAAACCATCATGAAATTTAAGAACATTAGAAAAAAGGAAAAGATCCTAAACACTGTCCAAGAGCTAAAAAGGTCACATCTAAAGGACAGGCAATCTGAATGTCATTGGACTTTTTTTTTAAGTTTATTGATCTATTTTTGAGAGAGAGAGAAAGAGAGAGAAAAAAATGTGCATGAACAGGAGAGGGGCAGAGAGACAGGGAGAGAAAGAATCACATGATGCAGGGCTTGATCCCAAGAACTGTGAGATCACGACATGAGCTAAAACCAAGAGTTGGACACTTAACCAACTTAGCCACCCAGGCACCCCTGCCGCTGGACTTTTTAACACAACACTCAGAAACTAGAAGAAGTGAAGTTACGACTTAAAAAGTCTACGGGAAAATTATTTCCAACCTAGAATGTGATATGGACCCCATCAGTCAGTGCAAGGGTAGAATTTCCAGATGTACATAGTCTCAAAAAATTTACCTTCCTCGCAACCAATGTTAGAGAGGTACTAGAAGGTACAATTCACCAAAATTAAAGTGTTACCATGAAAGAGGAAGATAAAAGATGCAGAAAATAAAAAATTACCAAAGAAGAGAGGCAGAAAAAATCCCCAGGGTGATAATGAAAAGATGTTCCAGGAGAAGAGCTGTGCAGCAAGCCTAGAAAACAACCAGTCCAGAAAAGACAGGGTATGCAGGGCTCCAGGAAGAAATGTCCCCAAGAAAAACAAGAAACGGAAAATGCCTGATGTTTGTCTATAAGGGGAGAAGCTATAAAGATTTATAAGAGGGTATGAATTAGTGATAGGTACACAGAAAACCAAGCAAATGAAGAAAATGAGACAATTATTAACTCCAAGAAAAACAAATTTGTTCAGGAAAGGAAGTTTCATAGTAATATACTTCAGCAATGAAGAAAAATAAGTTCTCATAATAAATATTGAATATTAACCTAACCGAAAATTATGAAATAACTATATGTGAAGCAAGAGGAAGTGAGGTGGCAAGGGAAGTGTGGGGGGGTGGGGGTGCGTATGCACATGCGTGAGTCAGCACGTTGATGGGAGTGGCATAAGAGAAAAAAATCCTCTTCTTTCATAGACGGGTGACAAATATGCAGCATAAAAGAGGGGAAAGCAAGAAATAACAGTCAAATCATATTGTTTAGAGACATGGAGGTAAACATCGGGCCTTCTAGCGAGAGGGTAGCCCTCACCTCTGGGAAGCAGCACTGAGGAGTAGGAAAGTGCACAGGAGGGAACCGCTACTTTTCGTTATAAACTGTGAGGTACCACTTGGTTTTTAAACCACATGCATGTTGGGTGCCTGGGTGGCTCAGTCACTTAAGTGTCCACTCTTGGTTTCGGCTCAGGTCATGATCGTGGTTCATGAGCTTGAGCCCTGCATCAGGCTCTGTGCTGCTAGTGCAGAGACTGCTTGGGATTCTTTCTCTCCCTCTCTCTCAAAATAAATAAGTAGACTTTAAAAAAAAACAAAAACCCATATGCATGCATTATGTTGACAAAAGTGAAAATTAAAAAAAAAACCTTATTAGGTGTCCCTTTTATTTGGAAGAGGAAGAGCATTAAAAAAGTAAAATACAAAAAAAAAA